GGGGGATATAAGCAGATCCATGTCTGAAGGGTAAGGTTTTGTGCAGGCTGGAGATGCTGATGGTCTGAAAAGTGTCATCCGAGAGCAAAGAGGAGGTGCACCCCAATAAAGATGAAAGTGTGTGATTTTAAAAGCAAAGTAAAAAAAAAAGCCATTCTAAAACAAAATGCTAGTGTAAGCAAAAACAAAAAATTAGAGTAGCAAAGAGAGAAAGGTAAAAGCATAAAGATGCTAAAAGTATCGAATAAAAGCTTAAAACGCAAGCTATTTATCATTTACTTATTTGTGCAGGGCTACTCGAGGCTGTGCTCTGACATTACTAAGCAGCAATCTGAGGAGTAGGCTCCTCAGTAAATATGAATTAAAAAAGAAAAAAAAAAGAAAGTGAAAATAAACTTTAACAGTGTGAAAATTAAAAAAAAATTCTTAACTTAGATGGGCTGAAAATAATTAGATTTGATAATCTCTAATTATTCCTCTAATTATTACCCAGCCCCCCTTAACAATTCAGAGAAGATAATAAAGACAGTATTAATCATTTTATTGCTGTAAACATAACTCTTTGGAAATTACAAACCAACTTAAAAGAGCTGACAGATTACCAAGCAAAGAACTAGTACCTAAATAATTTACAAACTTTTATGTTGAAACTTGAAGGAAAGCACCTTATTTTAAGCATTTCCAAAGATGACTATTTAGAGTTTTAAAATACTTGTAAAATAGAAAAGAAACATAAGTTAGATTAAGTACAGCTTGATGATAAAGTGTTTAGTAATTCTAATATAACTAAATGGAGGGACTATAGGCAAGCAATAGATTATTGCTTTAAAGTTATTTGATGGATAACAGGTTGATTCATTTATACTTTTGTGCTAACATAAACTGAATAATCTAGAACTGGAAGACAGATTCTATTTTATGGGTACTAGTAATCTATGTGGACAGGTATATTCCAATGCATTGTGAAGTAGGCCTTAGAAATACTAAAAATTCCAAAAAAGATTGGAATTTATTAAATAGGCAAGAAAAATGTGGCAATACTTTTAAAAGTTTGTTTTGGGTTTCAAATATCTTTCCCAAATAGCCATGGCCATTTTAGCCAATGCTCATAACACCTTTAACCTCCTACTAAAGTCAAAGGGTGTCATATATGTTACAGCCTGGCAGACATTTAAATGTTGATATAAGTTCAGAAATGAATNCAATGCTCATAACACCTTTAACCTCCTACTAAAGTCAAAGGGTGTCATATATGTTACAGCCTGGCAGACATTTAAATGTTGATATAAGTTCAGAAATATGTAGATAATTAAAAACTTCGGGTCAGAATGAATATGCAATTTTTGAAGCTATATAATTAAAATTCTGTCAGGGTATTATATTGAATGAAGATTATGAGGCTAAAATCTTTATACATGAATATAGAACAGATATTCAGATGAAGACCTATACATAACCCTAAATATATTTTTCTGTAAAATTTTCAGTGCAAATTCAGTTAGATCAACCAACATAAATAGAGGTTAATAATATGTAACAGATGTATCCGGAATTTAATGTCAAAATAGTTCAGGATGGTATTTTGGTTGATATTAAGTAATAAAATAAATATTTATAATATACTAATTTTTGCCCCTAAAGACTACCTCTTTAGAAGTCAGATGCTTTATAAACATTAAACATTATTTCCAACTATGTATACAAAACATTTAAGTCATTATTTCTTCTCTTTTTTTAAGACAAATTAATCTGAGACAGCTTGCAATGTGGACTTGAATGATAACTATTCTCTTATAAAATAATGTCTACTTCTTAGGTCTATGGAACAACTTAAGGTCTAAGAATTAGAGTAAAGCATCTAAGGGGGAGAATTAAATTCTCCCCCAAAGGCTGTTCATTGAAAAATAACATGCCTTCAAATGACTGTTAGAATGGTTGATGTCTTAAAAGGCAATTTTAAAATTTAGGAATAAAAAGTTAGAATATCAATGTGTAATCTCCCCCAAAAACACAACAGAAAACAAACAAACAAAATCAAACCCAAAACAAAAAACAATTTAGTATGAAAGTATCTTCCTAGAAAGATTGATGAATAATACTCCTATTTTTTTCCTTGTATTTCCCATGGTTTTATGTAACTAATGGATCTTAATATCAACAGTTATTAAAGATGGTCACTCTGGCATATGTTAAAGAACCAAAAAAACATATCTGGAAAATATCAGGAGTCTCAAGGAAAAGCTTTTGATGATATGTCATATAAAAGTGACAAATAAGCTACTTGTCGTCAGATATCACTTCCTTTAATTAATTAACAATTGATTAATAATTATTTTTATTTCTTCAAACTCCTGGACCTAACTATACTCAAATGTACTTGAATAAATACCTTTTTACTTTACATCTGGAAAAATTACCCATCATTAATGGAACCCCTAAATGGGAGAAAGAAATAAAAGAAAAACTGCCTGTGATTCACTTTATTTACACCTCTGCATTTTGGCATGCTACAGAACATCACAATTTTACATAGTCTACAGAGTTTAAAATAAGATGTATATTGTGGCTTTGAAAATATTAACATCATCTGCTATAGCATAGAGCAAAATAGCTCTAGCTAAAATAATTCATTCCCCAGCTCCCTTGGACAAGTGTTGGAAATTGAATAACTATTCTTTGACCTGTAACGCCCTGGGACATTTGAGTAATTCAGGGTAATAATCTTTAAAAGATGTTGTCATATCCAGTTTTACATTGTTGAACTCATATTAACACTGAATTTAGAAAAGAGAAAAAAAGTTCCTTTACCATGCAATGGTAAATTTACCTCTGGTTAACAATGCTTTGATTCTATTTACAGACTTTTATATATAGCAAACACACAGAAACATACATTACTAAATTTTGAAGCTAGAAAAATATATCATAGGATATGATTTGGAATCTATAAATTGGAGCATGTATAAGCTAAGAGTGTATTGACAAACCAAATCAGAAATGTAAAATTTATAGTAGTATGAAAATTCGGTTGCGAGTGGGACAGAATAAAGAAATGGGGCTAACTAGTACAATTTCATTCTTGTTAACACAATATCATCAACTCTGTTAAAAGTTCCTAGTTGATCCCTTCAAAATAGCAGCAGAGGGTTGTTTAAAAAAGTACTAAACTCAGTTCAAACTAATAGTACAGCATTACTTTACTGCACAATTCTAACTTTCCCCATTAAGCATTTTACATGTTTTTCAGATCCCCTTTAAAAAATTCCCCCAAAGCTTAACCATACAGCTCAGTTTAAGCAAATCATTTAAACTTAGGAGATGGATAATAAAGAGCTGAATATAAATGAATTACACTTACTAAAAACAGTCTGAAAATACAATGCAGTTCCCATCTGCTTTCTTGGAAGGTAATCTACCACTAGTGTGAACAACAATGTCAATTGTTATTTGCTTCAGTCTGAGAAGTACACTTGGCAGGTTTTCCTTTATGAAGTCAGAGCCACAGCAGTAAAGGGAAAAATGAGTGTGATATCCTGCAACCTCACCAGTAGGCAATATTAATTAATATTGCATCTACACTAAACTCAAACTAGAAGCAGAAAAGCCTTGACTCCATAAGAATTTTAGCTGCAGCCCTGTCTAAAGATTCAGGCTCCGACATTGTCAGTTTACCCCAATGGATCTTACCCTGTTGTCACTCTCTTAACGGAATTTCCCTCCCAGAAAACATTTCCTAATTTGAGGTTTACTTTACCTAGTGCAATTATTAAGGTAGGAGCGCTTGGTGGCTTGTGGACTTGGCTATGTAACCAGATTCTTTTTTCTTTAATGGTTAACCCTGGTCTGAATATGTGGTTGGATTTTCATTTATATTATCTGTGAAATTGACAGGGCATTTGGCACAATTTTCAAATACATGAACACATATTGCACTTTTAGTTCTTTTAAATATTGCCAGAGATACATGGCAAATAAAAAAAGAGAAAGAGAATTATGCCAATTGCCATCTTAAGGCCAGTGTTTTTACATGACTGAGTTTTATTTCTTCCATGTGCTGGAAATGCACTATAGGCCTCACAGATGCAAAGAAACTGTGTCTCAAGTTTTAGTTCACTGCCATGATTCCATTGGTATTAATATAAGAAAGAAGTTTACCAATTCTAAGGAGAGCTCTTGCCCAACAGCACTGTTTCCATCTATTTTCCTCATTGTGGTTTCTCACCTTGCTCCACAATTACCTTAGCACCTTGTTGTGCATCATAAATCACATTGTTAGCTTTTTGGTGATGGGAATTGAAGCTAAATCACAATTACTGAGAAAAAGTGTGCTGGGATACTGGCTACTTAGTATATTGTACTGTACTGTACTTTGTGATTCGACTTCGGGCTGTGCTAGGGGAGGCAGATCCAAGGGTCTGGCTAAAATGATGGTCAGAGGAGTTCCTTATATGGCCAATGGTAGCTGTTCCCCCCATGCTGCTACTCAGGCCCCCACCTCCTCCCAGACTGCTCAGCCCAATGCCACCACCACTTATTCCAGCCTCACTACTAACCAGGCCACTACTGACTGTGCCACTGCCTCCAATTATCCCAGCTGGGCCACTAAATCCAGTTACGCCAGAGCCAGAGACAACCCTCTCTGTCACAATCACATTGTGGGTATTTGATAACTCGGGGTGCATACTCAAACTGCCCATCATGCCAGAAGTTGGTCTGATTACTCTTTCTGTCACTACCACATTTGAAGACTCTCTAGGATCAGGGATGGTCAAAGTGGTGGGTAGGCTTGAACTTGGTGCTATTACCCTTTCTGTTACTATAACATTTGACCCATCTCTCAAGTCAGGCATCTCTAACATTCCATGCAAATCTGCACCAGAGATTGGGCCGAGCACCCTCTCTGTCACCACCACATTTGAGGCATGTCGATTATCATGAACGAGGACAGAGGGCTTCAGAGCGCCAGAGGTGGTATAAGACTCGGTCACAGTGACATTACCATAGCCCAGAGGATCAGGAATAGGCATAGGATGCTGTACACCAGGTCCCGAGGGATAGGCACTCTCAGAAATGACTGTGGTAGTGCCATATCGTGGAGACATGGGTGGGTATCCGCTAGCAATGGGCTCTGTTGCCTGCTGAGGGCAAATTGGTTCAGTGCTCTCAGGTGGCCAAGAGAGATCAAAATCTGGATATGGTTCAACATTTTTCCCCAGGCTGATATCTGCCAACTTCTTAAATTTAGGCCCCAGTGTATCCAAGAAGTTGTCATCAAAGTCTTCTCCAATGAAGCTACAACAACCCACAGAGCCAGCAGGGGAACCTACACCTTCAATATCATATATGAGCAAACAGTCATTGGATGGGCGTCCTTCATCTTCATCTGCATACGCATATGCTTTCTAAATTTGTAGAGGAAAGAAAAATGAAATCATGAATACATATTTAACAATAATATGTATCTTTATCTTAATTTTTTTCTTACAGGGTATTACCAAAGAAAAATATAAAAAAAATAAAACTTTAACATCTACTTAGAGATGCTCTAAGAATCATATAACTGCATAAAAGAGTTTGCTTAGGAATTATTTTAACTGGAATTCCAGTAATATATTTTGATTTAAAAATTTTATTAAGGTGAACTTTATAATAGTGCACTTTGGACACAAAAGCATACCAAAAAAGTCACATGAATTATTTTGTAACCAACTTAGGAGGAGGTACTTAAAAATGCTGAATTTGAAGTATACCAAATTGCATATTTTTTGGTTTATTTAAAGAAGGTAGTTCACAGCTGATTTGAGTTCATTCAGAATTGTGGTTTCCATCCTTCAGTTGGAGCGGTTATGGTGAATCTGTGAAATTTATTTCAATGAATCTTTTTCGGCAAAACAACAGAAAAATATAACTATGGGTTTATGCCACTTTGAGATTACAAATTGAAGGTGAACAAAGACAATTTTTGAAGCTAGAATCTTCTTTAATTCAAAATGAAAGCCCACAGATGTGCTCTTTTATTCACCTGGGCTGTTCATTATAATGGATTGCAAACTTTCAGGTTAAGTATCAGAAATGCCTTTGCTAGCAAACCAACTCATTATGCTATTTTATTCACAAATATTTTTTGAGTTGTCCTTAGATCTGCCAGACACTCTATTAGGAACTTGGCAATAAAGAAATGAATAAAGCCAGGTAAAGTCCCTCTCTTGTAAGGCTTACGTTTTAGTAGGATGAAGCAGACAACACAAACGTATTTGTCAGGAGGTGGTAAGTGCAGGGTAAAGAGAAAGTGATGGGGGTTGCTCTTTCAGATAGAATGGNAATGAATAAAGCCAGGTAAAGTCCCTCTCTTGTAAGGCTTACGTTTTAGTAGGATGAAGCAGACAACACAAACATATTTGTCAGGAGGTGGTAAGTGCAGGGTAAAGAGATAGAAAGTGATGGGGGTTGCTCTTTCAGATAGAATGGTCAAGGATGGCATCTCAAAAAAGTTATGTTTGTTCAGAGATTTGAGTCAAGGGACAGTGAGCAAAGCAGATAGAATATTATGGGTAGAAGAGGCTGTGAGTGCAAAAGTATTCAGGCAGAATTATACTTTTCATGAAAATAATATTTATTTTTAAGGACATGGATAGGAAGTATTCCTGTGGGTTTTAGCAACAGGCCTCCTGTTATTATCTATTGTTATTTGAAAGGCTTTAACTAGTATCTTATTTCAAAATATCAGCCACCATCCAAACCATTAGGAGAGTTCATGAAGGCATTTTAGGCCAGGATGTAGAAGGACATAAGCATATCAGAGACAGTAAATTCCTTAAAGCTTAAGTATCACATGGCATGTAACCATGGGCACTTCTGTCTCTACCTGGGGATGGCAAAATTAAACGTTATTGGTTCTTTGAATGTTCTGGAATTGTTCTATGGCTCTTGAACTTACTCTTATTGAATGTTTATTATGTGCCTGGAACTGAGCTAAGTACTGGCAACATAATGTGGAGAGCATGTAGCTGAGGCACCAAAAAGTGTGGTAGACATATAACTAACAGGTTTTAACAATGGTAGGGTCTATAAAATGTATAAACAAAGTACAAATGGCCCCTGACTTGTGATGGTTCAACTTAACAAGTTTTTGACTTATGATGATGCAAAAGTGATGCCCATTCAGTAGAAACCGGCTAGGCTAAGCTAGTATGTTTGTGGTAGGATACGTGTGTTAAATGCATTTTCAACTTAGGATAGACACAACCCCATTATAAGTCAAGGAGAATCTGTACTACAGAAATACAAATAAGGAAACATCAATCTTATTTTGACTGAAATGTTTAACAATGAAAACTTCAGAGGCAGTAAATATTTGAACTGGGTCTTGAAAGATGGGTAGGGGTTTGTGAGAGAGATGACCAGATAAAAGCATTCCAGTACAGGTACAGCATAAGCAAAGACATGGAGGGCAATAGACGGTGAGTAAGGCAAAGGCACTTGGCAAGTGGAATTGGTAGTAAGGAGTAATTGGAGATGTGAGGGAAGGGTCAATCTGTGAATAAGCTTATTTGTCACGTTAAGGAATTTAGACTTCATGCCATAGACAAAACACAGCTGGGATCCATTGGCTATTATTAAGTGGGGGAGTAAGAGGCCTAGGTCAGAGTTTTAGTTGTATTATTTAGCAGCACTATGGATCTTCAAGCATCAAGACTAGAGGCTAGGAACCTAGCTAGGAGATGCCTGCCAAAGCCCTGTTGGAAAAGAGTGGGAGCCTGGAGTATAGCAGTGGGTGCAGGATAGAGAGGAAGTCATGGGTCTAGAGCCCTTACCTGACAGAAGTAACTTTCCATGAAGTCCATATTCAGACCTCCTTCTCTACATTCCCTCATAGAATTTCTTCTTAATGTTCCAGAATATTCTTGACATATGTCAGGTGCTCCTGGTGTTTTAACTCCATCAGCTAGTTCAAATCCTGTCATTCTTTCTTCTCCTTCCATATCTTGCATTTCTCTGCCACCATACTCATTTGTGTAAACTCCTGAAAGTAAAGATCAAATTAAATTTACTTTATCTAGTGTATTGTGGACCAAAAATCAGTAACTTATTGTAATGTATGGTTCTTCATTTAAATATGCATTTGTGAGCAAAGAAAAAAATGAAAGTGATATCTAAATATAGGAAGTATAAATATGACATTGAGTTCAAAATAATATTATCAATTAATTTGTTAATTTGTTAATTATTGTTGTTAATTGTTTGTTGGTAACTACATGCTGAGCTAGAAGTGAGGGGCTGCATAGTGGTTATAAACACCTATGCTTTAGAGGTTTTCATTTTACTTTTTATTTTTTTAAAAACATTTTGATTACAGTCTACATTCAATATTATTTTGTATTAGTTTCAGCTGTACAACATACTGATCAGAAAATCATATACTTTACAGTGGTCCCCTTGAGATTTCCAGTACCCAACTGGCACCATATATAGTTATTATGAGATTTTGAATTAACAAAAATTGGGGGGAAATAACCTAAATTCTAAAAGTTAAATAGTATAAGAATACCCCAATGTATTAGAAGCACAGGGCCTCCAGAAGAAGGCCCAAGAACCACAGCTTTCAGAGAAGAAGCCATGGCTATGGTGAGGGGAANGAAGCCATGGCTATGGTGAGGGGAGAAGTTTACATGGGAGTCTTGAATTTGCACTTGGATGTGAGGGGTGAATGGAAGCTTCTTATAATATTCTAAGCAGGTGAGATAAAATGATGGCCTGGACTATGGAAGTGCCATGGACAGGGCAAGTGTTGATATGGGATAGGTGTCCTACGCTTTAATATTTTAAATATATTGACTTTTAGGAACAGTGTCTTTTCCATACTTCTATTACTTTGGTACCTCTCATTGTGCTTTGTTCAAAAGATTTGTGTAAAGATTTGTAGACCAGGCAGCCGATCAATGACTCTCTCATCATTGATGTTTCTATCTCTCTCTCCCTCTCCCTCTGCCTTCCTCTCTTTGAAATAAATAAAGATATATTAAAAAAAAGATTTGTAGACCTAATGAGAGATTACATGTATAAATAAAGCCTTGTGGATTGATGTTTTGAGAACTGATTGGATATCAATAACGGAAATATATAAGAATGAGTTCCTACTTTTGACGTGGGGGAATGTTGGTGTCGTTGACAAAGATGGATACATCAGGAGGAGAAATAGTTTTAAACACTAACATGTTCAGTCCTTTGAACAAGGACCAGTTCTACAAGTTATAAATATTTCTGGGCTTCTTACATTTTAATGAGTTCAAAGTAGAAAAGTCATGATTACAAGTTTGAAGAAGACTGACAGGAAAATAAGAGACTCAATAATTATTTACCTTGAAAAAAAGGAAAGATGGTACAACTCTTTTCAAAGATATGAGAAGTTTCTAAAAGTTAATTGTTCTCTTTATTTGAGTGGTAGTTGCTGACTTACTGTGATATTTCTAATTGTCCCCTGGTTTCCGCCTATGAACTGGTTTAGACCTCTGTGGTAAGGTAAGTTGTACTGATAGTCTTACCCATGGGCAAGGAGAAATTCCACCACATGCACGAAACCTCAGATGAGAGCTTTAAAAGATTTTGACAGTGTTTCACCCACTTACTTCCAATCTGAGAAACTAACAAATATTTTTAGGTCAACATTTATGCTGATGCTGAGAATGCATACAGTCTTTATTTTGCCATGATAGCAGCTGAAGCCAGAATGACTTTGATCCAGTCATGAATTGTGGAGCTAGATTCTCTTCTCAATAAAGGAGCACAGATCTATTTTAATTGGGTGACACTTTAATTCTAATTAGTATTTTGGGAGTAAATAAGATTTGCTCTATTGGACAAAACAAACAAACAAACAAATACAAGACCAAAATAGAATTGTGGTTACAATTCAGTTACTCTCTCTTATTTATAGACATCCTAATCAAGCCATTTCCTAAGTACTCTCTGATGATTAAGGAAGATTTAAAAAATCCAACATATAAGAATAAGAATTATTATAGGTTTTTCCTTATCATTTAATTTGCAAGTCAGTCATTTAAAACAGAAAAATAGAAACAATTTTAAAGACAAAATAATTGAGAAACAACAAGGCATGCAAAGAGAGAACAAAATTCCGTCTGAGTCATTTGAGTATTTAAAAAAAAAAAAATTGTACCTGAAGTGTCAATACATTCAATTAGTTGTACACCTCCTGTTCCTGATGGTATGGGGGCAGTGGTAATAGTCTAAAAGACAAGAAACAACATTTTCCCATTTGTAATGACTCTTTTCTTTCTATAGTTACACATGGGTTAGTTCTCAAATTATCTCAGATTTTCTGAAAGAATATGACTTAGGAAACATTTGAAATCCATTTAAAACAGGAACCTCATACAGAAAGCCTTCCCTGGTTACTTCCATTTAATTTTGAGGTACCTCTGATTTCTCTTCATTTTCCCCACTGGCTGGCCCAGAACAAAGAACAGCATAGTCTGTGAGTGATCACCAACCTCTTGTTTCATGTGACTAAGGCTGAGCTTGGGTGGCTACCATAGGTCATTTCTTACAGATCCGCACTTACCCCGGGCTGAGGCGGTGGTAATTCTACTGCCCACGGATGAATTGCTCCATCTGAACATTCAGGAACGGGCTCAAAGCCGGCTCCACCACCAGGGGCGCCTCCACAATCACAACAGATCAACAAAAATGGGACCACTGATGGTGAAAGGATAGGAATATTGAAATTAGCAGCAGGGCCCTATTAAAACAAAACAACTTGCTTTTGTGGTTAAATTTGAATCCCTAATAGAACCCCATTTTATTCCCCCTAAAATAACTATGACATTTTCAGAAAATAAAGTGAATAATGCTGAAAAGCTAAAATCAATGTGAGCTTCAGTATTCTAGATTTACAATCCATTTTAATTTGTTATATTGGATTCAGATTACAAATAGTATCATACGATTAAAATAGGTAGCAAAAAATATTTCATATGCAGAGTGCTTTGATTTCATATTTTATGTGTGTATGTTTTAATTAAATAATGCCTGAAGTATCTCCTGACATTAAGATTTTATGATCTATACTTAAAAAATGGCAATGTTTACATTAATTTAATGGTAATGTGCAGATATCTACCTAATTACTTCAGAACTCCCCTTCTCATTCCTCAGAGACTGGAGGATCTAGCTCATCTCCACTCTAATTTCTATCATCACTCAAAGCGATGTTGGAGACCACCTAGATAACCCATTGGATATTATGTCCTCATGGCTAGATACTTGACTAGGTCTACTCTAGCGATCATAAATGTGATCTATCTCTAAATGTTGCCATGTGTGGTACTTATTTTTGATCATCAAAGCAATGTTGTGAGGTAATAGATGGCAAAAGTGTGGCTCAGTGAAGATAGGTAACCTTTGGAAGACTCTACCAGACAATTACATTTAGAAGCTGAAGTTGAACCCTATGTCTACTTGACTTTCCCTTTCATTAAGTCTTAGCATAGCATGAAATCCCTTCAGCGTTTGGTCCCTGCCTGTCTTTCTAGTCTTAACTGCCACCACGCAATCCAATACATGCTTTATTTCTTCCTTATTGGAGTCCTTTATCTCAGTAACCAGCACTCTCATTCTTTGGTGGGTTTTTTTCCCCCTCGTTTTATTATGTTCCCTTTTTCTTGTTCATCAGGCTAGTTCTGTTAAAACTCAACTCAGAATTTACTTTCTTTATGTACACTTTTCTTTCCTTTTCTTTTTAATGTATCTTTATTGATTTCAGAGAGAGGAAGGGAGAGGGAGAGAGAGAGATAGAAACATCAATGATGAGAGAGTCATTGATCGGCTGCCTCCCACATGCCCCTGACTGGGGATCGAGCCCGCAACCGGGGCATCTTCCCTGACTGGGAATCAAACCCCATCGATCTCCTGGATCCTAGGTCCACGCTCAACCGCTGAGCCATGCCCGACCGGGCAATATGTATGCTTTTCTTACTGTTTCAATCAACTGTTGCTCATTTCTTCTTCACTCAAATAGCAATTTGACCTGCCTATTATGGGACTTCCCATTGCATTGAGATTGGATGAAAAAACTTCTACCTTCTATTGCCAAGCAGTTAGATTTTTTAAATCTTATAAATCCAGCACCAAATGTAGAAATGTCTTGATAATTGAACAAAATAAGAATTTGTAAATACATTTTTATCAAAAGATAAGAAAACATCTCACAGTTTTTGGATGGGCACATATAGATTGGACTATTAAAGTACTTACATCCTAGGACCAAGAATCCCATGATGAGTAGTCCAATGCCAGCAGGACCAAAATGTACATTATCTGGGAACATGGGCACGTATGTGTCTGGTACTTGATAATCTGTGTTTCCATTGCCTTCTGGGTTGACTGTAGCAGATACTTGAGGTTCACTTGTACTAGTGTCAACTACATTGTTAGTNACTTGATAATCTGTGTTTCCATTGCCTTCTGGGTTGACTGTAGCAGATACGTGAGGTTCAAATTCATTTGTACTAGTGTCAACTACATTGTCAGTGTTATAGTTTGGAGTAGTGTCAGGTGTTTTCCAGCCAGAACCTTGAAGATCAATAATAATTGTGCCAGTACAAGTTCTTTGAAGAGCATCTGTAACAAGGTTCAAAATGGAAGAAATAGTTTACAAATTTAGTGTAATAATTGTTGGACAATACAAAACTATTTTCTTTTTGCATCAATACTTATTTCAATGTCTTTATCTCCATTCATTCAGTAACTTCCCAAATTCTCCCTTGTTCATGACTCATTTTTTAAATCAAACTTTTATGACTATTAGTGCTTCTGAAAAACTGTCTCATGTGTAGAGAAGCATAAACAATAAACTCCAACTTATGAATGTATCAGCCAGTGGCGTGTTATAAGCCACAGTAGGGGCAGTCCTAGCCTATTTTTTTTTGCACATTTCTATAGTAGAGCTAGATTTTTTTTTGGTGGTTGTTTTTTGTCTTCAATTATGTTTGTTCTTTACCTTTTATGGGCTGACAAAATGAACAGAGTTTGAGCAGGTTGGTAAATCATTTCTACAAAAATTTCCTAGTGATAAAGCAGCATATTCCAAAACTCACAACCAATAAATCATAGGAGAGGGAACTCTCACTATCAGAGATGTGTGTGTGTGTGGGGGGGTGGATTTTCATTTCAATAAGAAGGTGAAATGCTTTTGTTTCACAAGCAGATATTCCAAATTTGCTTTCTTCTTGCCCTTCAAAGTTTCAGTAGGTTATTGTGTTCCTTGACTAAACACAGCGGTAGGGACATTTGTTATTTGTTTCAACTTAATTGTTTCACATTTACTGTTTATTTCATCTAACCAACCAACCAACCAACCAACCAACCAACCAACCAACCAACCAACCAACCAGTACTTCAAAATAGTAAACTGATTTTTTTAGTGCACTTGACACGGAAGGTAGTACATCAGAATACATCTATATTTAGATCAGCAAGTGCCTCAGGCTAAAGTAGGGCTGTAGTATTGACTACAAAAGTGTGCCAGGGAGCTCTTTTTGGTGGTGAATATGTTCTAGATCTTGTTCGTGGCAGTGTATATATGAATGTATACATCTGTCAACTCATCAAGTTGTACACTTTAAAAGGGTGTATTTATTATATGTATGTTATACCTCAATAACGTTGAATAAGAAATATATTTGAATATATATTTGTGCCCTTATCTTGCAACAAAATTCGTCCATTAAAAACCATCAGACAGGTAGCTCATGATCTCACTTATATGTGGAATCTAATGAACAAAATAAGCTAATGAACAAAACAAATCCAGAGACACTGAAACATGCAACAGACTGATGTATTTTAGAGAGAAGGGGTGGGGGCGGGAAGAGATTAACCAAATAACTTATATGCATATATGCATAGCCCAAGGGCAAACAGTAGTGCAGGGAAGGCCTGAGGAGGGGGTGGGAGCGGGGTGGAGGGAGTCAATGAAAAAAGGGGACATCTGTAATACTTTCATCAATAAAAATAAAAATAATCTATCAAAATAATCATGTATCTGTAGCAGTTTAACAAAAAATGGTATATGTAAGAGGTGATAAAAAACATATTTTTAAATGAGAAAAGTTGCTCAGACCAATATTAGAAACACATTGCTGCAGTCATTTACATTTGATTTTAAAAAGTCAGTCATGTTCACATCTATTTAAGTGAATGGAAGCTACTTGTATTTGTATTTTGTATGCAATTGTTCTAACTATTCTAAGTTACCTTAAAAGAGACATATTCATCACATCTGCACAATTTGTTTTCTGTAGGATTTGAATATGAAAATTTATGATTAGGAATTGCTCACTATAGAAAAACCACATTGCTGGTGTGATTTTTGTTTGTTTGTTCATTTTTGTTAACCCTCACCTAAGGATATTTTTTCCATTGAGTTTTAGAGCTAGTGGGAAGAGAGAGGGGGAGAGAAAGAGAGAGAAACATCGGTGTGAGAGAGACACATTGATTGGTTGCCTCCCACGTGCACCCTGACCAGGGCTGGGGATTGAACCTGCAACCCAGGTACGTGCCCTTGATCGAGAATCAAACAAGCAACCCTTCAGTGCTCGGGTTGATGCTCTAACCACTGAGTCACACTGGCCAGGGCCCAGGTGTGATTTTTCTCTCCTTCAGAGATAAGATTTCCAAAAGTTAGCATCTACCGTATAGAAAAGTTTCTTCACCAACATGCGCTATTAGGCTAGACCTCAGTGGTCATAATAATTCTTGCTGCAGTGTAGGAATGATGTTGATGGAACAACATCTTTTTCTATAGCCCACTTGCCAATATTTACATGTGGTTATCGCTGAAACAATTTTTAAAAATTCCACGATAACCTCCTTTTTGCTATCTATTCCCCCCATTTTATTGTGATACTATAATTGACATGTAACATTATATAAATTTAAGATGTACAATATGCTGATTTTATATACTTATGTTTTACAATTGGACTACCACCACAGTGTTAGCTAAAGTTTCCATCATATCATATAGTTTCGTTTCTTTTTTTTGTGGTGAGAAAATTTAAGATCTACTCTTTCAAGTATATAGCACAATATTGTTATCATTAATTACAATGTTGTGCATTAGATCCCCAGAATTTATTTATTTCATAATTGGAAGTTTGTACTTTTTGGCCAACATCTTCCCATTTCCCCCATTCACCGTCCCTTTTCTTCTATCTTAAATGTTTTTGAGCCATGTAGGCTATTTTTAATATTTTGAACACTTGATCTTTTAAATACTATTCAATCCATTTTATGAAGCTAAGTTTGCTGCAAAAGTCATTATAGCATATCTTTTTATAAAAGAAAATGTGTTTTATTTTTGAACATTATATACACACTGCACTACTCCTGTCTATAAACTCAGGTAATTTATTTTTATTTTATTTTATTTCATTTCATTTCATTTTATTATTTTATTTTTTCAAATATATCTTTATTGATTTCCAAGAGCAGAAAGGAGAGGGAGAGAGAGAGACAGAAACATCAATGATGAGAGTCATTGATCAAGCCTGCATCTNAAAATGTGTTTTATTTTTGAACATTATATACACACTGCACTACTCCTGTCTATAAACTCAGGTAATTTATTTTTATTTTATTTTATTTCATTTCATTTCATTTTATTATTTTATTTTTTCAAATATATCTTTATTGATTTCCAAGAGCAGAAAGGAGAGGGAGAGAGAGAGACAGAAACATCAATGATGAGAGTCACTGATCAAGCCTGCATCCGGGGCATGTGCCCTGACCAGGAATCGAACCCTGATCGCCTGGATCCCAGGTCGATGCTCAACCGCTGAGCCACGCCCGGTCGGGCAACTCAAGTAATTTAAAGCTAAGTATATTTTGTCCAACTGCAAGGGAAGAGAAGTAGCAATATTTATGTGCCTACTATGAAACTTTATATGCGCCATAGCATAAAATTTTCTCAACAATTTTTTGAATTATTGTAATCAGCCTTATTATTAATTATTACTAGTAACACTGTTGGATTATTTCTTTACATTATAAGTAGTTGGGTCCTGTATATAATTTGAAAAGTATAGAATTATATAAAGAAGCAAAACAAAAACAAAGACAAAAATAGACCCATAATAGCACTACCCAGGGGCAACCTCTGTTGATATTTTATTGTATTATCTTTTGACCTTAATTAAAATGCCTAACATTTACAAATTATTTAAGTTACATTGATAGATCATATAGCTCTTTCCATTTTATAATTTTTGCTTTTCGTTGTAAGAATTCTTCCATATTTAAAATATTCATTAAATTAGTTTCTGATGGCTACATAATTTCATATCAAGTGGGTGATGGTTTATCTACTCAGTTACCTGTTACTGATATTGCTTTCCATATCTAATTATTATAGGTAATGCTATAAGTAACATCTATGTGCATTCAGCCTTTTATATTTAGGGATTTTCCTAAGATTATTGAAACGGACTAAAAATAAAAGAATGATTTTGTTTGATATTCTTGTTATCTCTATTATATAAATGTGAGCTCTATTGTCAGACTTTGTCCATTGATATAACCCTAGAACCGGGCACAATGGCTGACATTTGGTTAGGACTGAATATATAGATTCTGAGTAAATGAATAAAGATATCTCTGGAAGTATATAATAGAGACAAGTTTATTTTTTTTTAATTTTTATTTTTTAAAGTAAATGTAGAGGACTCTGTTGACCATTGAATGGCCTTTTTTCNAATAGAGACAAGTTTATTTTTTTTTAATTTTTATTTTTTAAAGTAAATGTAGAGGACTCTGTTGATCATTGAATGGCCTTTTTTCTTTTTTTTTTTTAAACATATCTTTATTGATTTCAGAGAGAGGAAAGGAGAGGGAGAGAGAGAGAGAGAAACATCAATGATGAGAGAGTCACTGATCGAGCCCACAACCGGGCATGTGCCCTGACCGGGAATCGAACCCCCATCTCCTGGATCCTAGGTCGATGCTCAACCGCTGAGCCACACCCGGCCGGGCTAGGGACAAGTTTAAATCCAGTCTATGATATTAAATCCCATGCCCTTTCATCTCAGCTATGCTGATTCTAATGTTATTGGTTTTATTGTTATTTTTATAATTATCACCACATGTAATATTTATTCCCTTTTTTGATGAGAAAAGACATGCTTTCTGTTTGCCATAAGCCTAACAGTTTCGTAAGCAAAGTTTCAAATTTCCCTTCATGTCTCTAAGCTTGATGTTGGTTGTAAGAAATGGAGTAAACTAGCAATTACTTAAGATCATTTCAGCAATGAATCAAAATAAGCTTTACCTATAAATGGAATCACATCTCTATCTGTAACATATATTTTTAAAACTACATTTATTTTGACTATGGAAAAAACATTGTAATTTGGTAAAAATTCTGAATTCTTGAATGACTTTAAAGAACTGCTATTTATTATTATTTTTAATCTGTAAAGCAAATGGAAATTGTGAAACCTCTTTTAGGATAATTGAGAAAGGAAAAAGAGAAGGAAAAGGAAGGAAGAAGGTGCAGCTGAATTAGCAAGTATTGCTCAGTAGAATTAGTCTCGAGGAAATTTCCTCCTTTAGTGACCAGCCTCATTTAATTTTGATGGTTTTGAAAAGCATGCAAATTGCTTACACAAAGGTTTATATCAATTTTCCAAAGATTATGTAAAGCTAAGTTAGCTTGGCTTCTGGCCTATTTGAAAATAATTTTACAATACATACAATTTTAAAATTTTCATTTAGATTAATAAGAACTAACATTTATTGAAAGTCTAAGTGTTTTATATGTAATAACTCCTTAAATCTATATTGTTATCGTTCCATTTTGCAGGAGAGCAGACTGAGGGATAAATGGGTTAAATAACTTCTCTAAAATCCCATAACTAGTAAGTGATGGCACAAGATACCAATCCAGTCTCACTCCAGAGCTCATGGTCTTATCCACTAAATTATACTGCCTTTCATATCATTCAAGATTTGATTCTTTAATACCCTATATGATAACTTTTGTTGGAAAAAGCATTACTTCAAAATACAATGATTAAAAATTTAATTTCTGAATATATATACATACACATATATACTTACACACATATAAGTACATATATGTATGTATACACACATACGCACACATATATATACAAACACACACATATATAAAGTACTTCTAGAAGGAAAAAAGTTAAATTGATCTCTTACCATCTATAGATAGAATTGTCCCTTGGTAATTTCCATTAAGCATTTGATATTGTTCCATGGTAACTTGATTTCTCAAAGTAATAATGCCCGTTTTTGAGTCAACAGAGAGCAGATCAGCTGGATTATTTCCCATTACATATCTGTATTTGAAAGGTAATAGCATAAATTAATGTCAGCTATCTAAAAAGGAGAGAGAAAAGGAGAGATTTTATTTATAAAACATATGTTTCTAGTCATTAGTTATAATCCCTGAATATAATTTTCAGTTATTAGAGACACTTTTTTTTTTTTTTAAGGGCAGTCCCAGTATTTGAGGACATTCAGAAATAGACAAAGCTGCAAATTTAAGAAAAAAGAATTACTGAACAGCCATTTCTGATGGAATGTCTCTTATGCCCACTTAGATTTCAGAATAATCCTTGGATACTTGCAGTCTGGTTTTCATTTGATTTTGGTAGCATCAGAACTATCCTGGAAGACCCAGACCCTAGGACTTGCTGAGCTCATGAATAATTCTAAATTATTCTCTTCCCAAAGAAGTTACTTTCTCATCAGCTTGCCAGCATCCCCTTCCTATTCCCACTCCCCCTCTCCATATACACAATGGCTTTACAGGACTTCCTTTGAATTTCAAACTACCTATGTCCTTTCCTTGGGATTCTGTCCTATTTTCTATTCTCTTTCCTCATCTTTCACTTCAATGTCTTTTCCCCCCTCATTTACATCTGTTAAAGAAATACTGGTTAGTAACTCCCTGTCTCAGGTGTCTGCTAAACTCAGGTAATAGAACTTTGAGAGGACACAAGGGTGGGGGGTAAGGGGTGGGCAGTGAACTCACATCTGCGGGGTAAAGAGAGTTTGTCAGCAATGGTGGTACAGTGTGCTAAGAGTTATAACAGAAATACTCACATAGTGTGAAAAGAATACAAAAAGCTTTAAAATCTCATTTGTGAGGTCTTTTCCCCACTGTTATTTTTATCACAAGCACATGATTAAAACACATGTGCACATATACACACAGATTTTTTATAATCAAGTAGAAATATTTGGATATACAGAGTTTTAAAAAATTTCATGGCATGATATTTTCCCCTTAATCTAATTCATTTTCATACCAAAGTTATTATTGGCCAATACTAAGTGCTGATTAAAGTAAAGAAAGTAACTAAATCTAATTGACTTCAATCTGGGCAAATTTGCTGTGGGAAAATCAGTCCATAAAATCTTCCAGGGTAAATGACCTTGATATGTGATAATTAGCAAATTGGTCAATAAAATATATAAACACAGGAGTGTAAAAATTTAAAGATACAATATTTTCACATTTTGCATCTTTACAATTTTACATCATACATTTTGCACAAATTTTTATATTTTTGTAAGTTAAGCACTCTAAATTAAGTAATTCAGTAGTTAGTACTTTTTATGATTAAATAATGGCTTCAAAATAATGAAAAATATTTCAATTCATACTTAAAATTTCTAAAAAGAACATATGTACTTAATTCAACATGTGATGAATATTAGTTGGAAAATGTCAGTCTTACCTAACAGTTGTTGAAGGTTGATTAGTGTCCAGATCGGTAGCTACAAAATCCCCCACTTTATAATTTTGTCCCATATTACTAGTTACTGCAAATGTCTTTGAACCTGGACGGAACACTGGGCCTTCAATTACATTTAACACAGTCACGGAGACTGCACTCGCTGTGAGCTTATATTGAGACATAATTGATTGATGAAATTCGGCTTTATTTCTAACACCAATACTAAGTTGCAGATTCTTCATAGCTTCATAATCTAAGGGCTAGAAAATACAGAGTGAAATAGTTTTACTCTAAGAAGAAAAAAATTCTAGAAGAAAAATAAATCTTTTTCTTTGATAATAGGCAGAAAAAAATTTATGCCTCTTTCTTTAATTAAATATAAATACACACAATGTATTCTTACTTTTTTATCTTTAATCCAATACAAACACATAAAAATATATATGGTAAGAAAAAGTCCAATTGTCTTGTATCCTTAGTTGAAAAATTGAAAATGTATGACATGAGCCCTAATTGTCCACCAAATTAAAAACTTAATAAATATAATATAGATGGTCAAATCCTTGCATTTTGTAGTTGCAAGGGCAGTTTATGTTACCCTGTATCATTTAATATTTTTCAGAAAGTAGTTCTTTTTATACAAAGTATGGGCTAGATACATTGTAGGTTCCATCATTTGACTGGTTTTATCCATAAAGAACTATTTAGAAGAATTTTACTTCTATAAATATGACTTCTTTCATTAAGTTAGGTACTAGAATGTAGCATATAAGTAATAAAGAGAAGTTCTTATTTTTTTTCAACATATTCTGGAATAAATTATTTCATCTTAAAAAATAATCAAGTAGTCATTTCTATTATAAAAGATGGTGTCAATAACCACTACTCATAAAATCCACAAACAACTATGCATTATGCCAAATATATTTCCCTAAATTTTCACATGAGTCATTTAGATGACCATTGATTCATGCATTGAACACTTCACTTAGCTAAAACTTTTAGTTTTTGCTCTAATGTTGGCTGTATTTGCAATTTCAAGAATGGCTATAAAATCATGTCTACATATACATTACACACAAACACACATACTTATTACATATTATATATAATCATAAAAAGGGAATTAATATATGATGCCATGCCTGGGAGAAAGATCCAAATCATTCCCATTTTACAGATAGAGGTGTTGAGGACAGAGATTAGTTTTCTAAAGTAATATAATAGTTTAGTATGAAATAGTCTAGGACTCAGTTTCTCCAGCATGGAATCCTAGGTAGTTTAGTGGAAAGAATATGGACTTAATAGCTAGAGAGATATAGGTTTGAATGTAAACTGTACCATATACTAGTTATGAGAACTTAAGGAGGTTACATACTCTCTTTGAACCTCAATGTATTAATCTGTAATACGGGCATATAACCTATAGCAGGGATGCTGTGAGGACTAGACTAATGCCTCTGTACATGGCCTCACTAAATGGAAGCTGTAGACATGGTGACAATTTATGACGACATGAAACAAATGATCACACATTCCCATGAGGACAGAATTCCTTAGGGGTCTATTTTCGAGGACTATTTTGAAGGAAGGAAATAGTGAAAAAGGAATTAAATTTTACTATGAAGAATCCATATTGCAGACATCACATACAGTTCATGTACTACTATTACAATTTATTAAAAATTAATTTTGAGAGAGGAAGGGAGAAAGAGAGAAAAACATCAATTTGTTCCACTTACTTATGCATTCATTGGTTGCTTCTTGTATGTGCCCTGACCCAGGATCAAACCTGCAATCTTGGTGTATCGGGACAATACTCTAACCCATTGAGCTACCCAGCCAGGGCACTATTGCATATTTTAAAAACAGACTCAATAGGTCTTATAGTACAGGATTAAATTTTCACTATTAACTCCCTAGGAGTCAGGCATTTTCCCCCCTTATACCTCAGAGGAAATTCTGCAGGTAATTTGGTGAACTATCAATGTAAGGGGGACACAGGTGAACTTTGGTGACTTGGACCGAATTTCTAATGTATGTTCATAATCAACCCTGGTCAGCAGCCACAATGAGATGTGATTCTACAATTACAGTAATTTAATATTAATTCCATAAAATCACACTAGAAGAATAAAGAACGTTTGATTTATATAGTGAATATTCATAGTGCATAATAATTGTTATATGTCAATAAGGACACATTTTTTGTAGAGGCCATATTAAACCTGATTTAAAAAACATTTTTTCAAATATTTAAAAACATTAAGTATTAATCATACTTTGCTGTAAGCATAAAACTAGTTTCATGTTTAAAAATTCTTTCAATTGATATGATCTGTGAGGGAGTACTGTATTGATAGAAGAGTTTCAATTTAAAATTCAATGCCTGTTTTCATGACATTATATAAACGGAAAACCTCTCTATGTAAAAGCTCTATATCATATACCATTTTAAAACAGTAATGTTTATTCTTTCACCCACTCGAGTTTGTGAAATCTTAACATTTTATTTTAAGATTAACATTTGGAAAAAGACCAAGAGAACAGAATATTTAGGATAATTATACCATACCTTAACAACCTTCAAAATTCCCACATTTGTTCTTTCATTCATTTCTATCTCAAACCAATTTCCCTCATTTCCAGAGATAAAGAAAATCACTGCCATCCAGTTAGCCGTGTACTCTTCATCCAAATCAATGACTCTGATTTGGAGCAATTCTGAGTGCAGAGCGTTTTCTTCGATTCTTACGGAATACTGAAATAGGAAGTAAAACAAAAGACCTTACCACAAACTGTGTGAGGGACAGAACTCTGCTAGGCTTACATTGAATGTTTATAGTTCCTCATTAGTTAGAAAAGGGATCTGTGTTTATAGTGTCTCTTCTCAGTGTTCAAATAGTTGCCTCCCTGGGCATTATATAAACAAGCACGAAGTACTTGTCTACATTTGGGTTTAGGTGACTAAGGATAACATAGACAGGGCTGTTCAAAGGAATGTTAGGATGGCATGAATTTAAGTTATTAGTTTCAAAGGCGAATACTTACTGAAGACTGTTCCATGTACGGGATGTTGTCATTGACATCGAGGATTTTAATGCTGCACTCGCACTCTGCGGACATTCCGTCTGACCCGCCGTCTCGGTCAGAGCCTCTTACGGCGAGAGAATACTGGCTATATTGCTACAGGCACACATGGCAAACAATATCACAGTTGCCATAGACAATCCCCATTCTGTCTCATGCTAAGTTCTTTTAAAATGTTGGCTCATCATTTACATAAATCTATGGTGGTGATAAGGGTAATACAGATCATTGAAAATTTCCAAATTTCACATGAATCGATATGAAAGTTGCCATTTGCTTATCGAGCCTCATTTAAAAGAAGCAACATTCTCTAAAAGCCTCATACCTTATTCTTTGCTCAGAATTGGAAAACGTGTATAAAGGGTAAATTGGTTCAAAATGATCAGGAGGAGAGAGATTAACACTTATCAAGAATTTTGGCATGAAAATTCCATACCTTTGATAACCAGCCCCCGAGTTTGCAAGAAGAAAGAGGTAACAGATGGTTTGCATTGCTGGGGCCGGCAGGTTGTGGCAGTGGAATTATTGGTGATCTAGCTCCTTGAGTCTTCTCTATGGTGCTTAAACGTTTAGAAGCTGGTAAGAGCTATGGCTGCTTTTCCAGACACACACATATTTGCATTCTCATTTAAAACAGAGACACGATCTTAGAGGAGCCATAATTAGAGACATCTTGAGGTCTCTCTATGGACGCCAGGTTAAGAACATCTGCTCTGGTGGCTTCCCAGTGACTACAGAGTTCCTTTACTTTTTAGAGCTCTTTAGAGCTCTTTAGAACTAAAACTCTTTCGATATTAAAGGAGTTTCATTGGGTTCTTTAAGAAAGTTTGAGAAAGAGTTAAGTAGTCCATTTCTTCAGATGGTAATTTTCAAGCAAGTATAAAAGGAGATACAGGTAATCTAGAAACTGATGGCATTTAGATCATTAAAAAGTGTAAAAATAATCTGATTTATCCTAAACCTTTAGGTCATTAATGGAGACTGTCATTTTAAAATAACTATAATGATTAAAATAAAATTTAATTGAGTATTAATTAGGAAATAAAACTTTCTCATGTATATTCCTACAATACATACAGTTCAGCTATATTCTACTTTAAAGTAACGAAAAGTCGATATTTTTACATTAAGTTATAGGACCACATGGCATGATAGAAACCATGTAGTGCTGATTCTAATTTGATAACACTAATTGTTTTTTTTTATTTGTAAATGAAAAGATTGATCCGGATATCACTTAGTTTCTTTCTATCATTCTGTTCCTGTGATTCATTCCCCAAAGTAATCAATGTGCTGTCAGTAGGTGTAACATAGGGGTAAAAAAAAAGATTTCTGTCGTCAAATGAGCTTAGGATATGCTGGGCTAAAGAAAGGTAAACAAGTTTCTTAGCCTGTAAAAATTTTTAGGACCTTGACCATGTTTCCATACATTGTGACTCACCAAGTTGGGGGCTATAATAGCAAATGTCTTTTAAACTTATTTCATTAGACAACTTACCTTTTTTTTGGAGCTTTTGCCTCTACTTTATGCATATTTTATGTACTCTCAGAATATAGTTTTCTCAATTTGAGACAAATCCTAAGCAAAATTAAATGAAAACTACCAGTATAAAATGTATTTAAGGAATCCCCAGATTTTCCTTTTGAGGATATTTTTATTGTTTTATTGTCATTACCATTATGTGAAAAGGTTATGTAATTAAAAATTTTAAATATAGTTTCTTTTTTTTCTTTCTTTCTTAGGAATTCTTGCTTTTAGAATCAGGTCCTATGAACTGATAACCCATTCAAAGAAAAAGAAATTACCTCTCTGTCTAGAAAATTATTCATTGTTCGAATTTCTCCAGTGTATCTGTTGATAATGAACATGGGTGAATCAGAAGGTTCCTGGCTTATGATCTTGAAGGCTATTTTTGAATTCAAATTATTTGGTTCATCTGCATCAGTAGCATTGAGTCTCATCACCAGTGTATCTAGAAATCAAGGAAAATTGATTGCAAATGGACAGTTTGCAGTTTTCTTACAGTATAGTATATTACTTTTCCAACAAGATGTTAGAGTTAGTTGATTCATATAATGGGCACTCTACCATTTCTCCTTTCTACTTCTTCAACATATGAACATCTTAGCTCCTTTCTATACCTTCACATTGAGAAAAAGATCACATTTTACCAAGAACCTGGATATTATTGGTAGTTAAAAAACAAAGAAATGTTTTATTCTGCCTTTCCCCTTCTTATTCTAGTGTGATAATTTTTTTAAAGGCTTCTGTGATGAAACAAAATGAGATTAAGGCCAGACCAATTGTTTCTCAACTATATAGCACTTTCTAGCTGTATGATCTTGGCCTCAGTTTCCACATCTGTGAAAGAAAGAAAGAAAAAAGCAGTATGAATAAAAGTGGATGAGATTGCCCTTCAAAGCACTCAGGCTGGGAGGCTAAATTCTCCTCAGGGCCCCTGCCACCACTGGGCAAAGTTCTTTTGAAATTTTTCCTTAGGGATCTACTATAGAGCTGGTATGAGAATCACATGAGGAAATTCTTCTCAGTACTTTGGAGTTGCTCCTTGCATGTGACAGATTGAAGCTGCTTTCACAATTGAAGGGAAAACCTTTGTGGAGGCTTCCTCATGCCTTTGTCTTCTGCATGCTTTTCTATGATTACCTCTCACATTTGTGACATAGCACATTATGATGTAGACATCATTTAGTTGACTGGCTGTTAAGAATGATCTGGAAGCCAATATAGTCTTGTTTACTTAATAAAGTTGATTACTTACTTGCATTAGAATTTTCTTCTATTTGTCCTAGAAAAGTAGACATAGAAAATACTGGAGGGTTGTCATTTATATCCAAAACCCTAACTCTGAGCTCGAGAGGCCTCTCTAAGTCTTGGCCCTGTAAATTCAGAGCACGGCAGTAGATCTAGGGGGGGAAAAAAAGAAAAATTATATGATGCAACAAATATTAAGTTTTTATTTTGTTTGGACACTATACTAGGCACTGTGTAACTAAAAGAAAAGTAAGACTTTATTTCCTACTGAAGTTTAAGCACAAGAAGTACTTATAATCAATAAGGGGAGGCAAACATATACTCCAAATAACACAATAAGTTATAAAAGGGAGAGGAAAAATACTATGACATCATAGGATGATGTAATGATTGAGATAGATCTTAAAAGAGAATTCCAACAAGTAAAATCAGTAATAGGGACTACTGGTGGGTTAAGGCTGTGGTAAAGGAGAGTCACATGGGGGCTTCAAAGATATATAACATTCATAAGCTAGGTGGTGGCTAGATAGGTGTTTGTATGATTATTATTATTAGACGTGTACGTAAATATAATGTATACTATTTTACCTATTTGGTATACTGCATATAAAATGCATTGTGCTTTAACAAAAGCTAATAGGCTGGCATGCTGATTTAGAGAGTTTTTGGGAAATCACTGTGGGAAATAAGGCAGGAATATAAACTTGGAATAGAAGACTAAGGAATTAAAATAGTCTTAGGAGTACAGACAAGCAGTACTAGTGAAAGTGGCAAACATAGCCCGGCCGGGCGTGGCTCAGCGATTGAGCATCAACCGAGGATCCAGGTCAGGGCACATGCACGGTTGCAGGCTTTNGTCTTAGGAGTACAGACAAGCAGTACTAGTGAAAGTGGCAAACATAGCCCAGCCGGGCGTGGCTCAGCGATTGAGCATCAATCGAGGATCCAGGTCAGGGCACATGCACGGTTGCAGGCTTTGTCAATGACTCTCTCATCATTGATGTTTCTCTCTCTCTCTCTCCCTCTTCTTTCCTCTCTCTGAAATCAATAAAGATATATTTAAAAAAAAAAAAAAGTGGCAAACATAGATTATTATTGGAAGGTATTTTTGGAGATGGATTGATAGGGTTTTAATAGAGGAGGTTACAAGATCGAGTCAGGGTTTCTTTTATTCTTTCTTCTTTATTTAAAAAAAATTGATTGATTTTAAGGGGGAGAGAGAGACAGAGAGGTGAGAGAGGCATGGATTTTGTTGTTCCGCTTATTGATAACATTCATTGCTCGATTCTGTTATGTGGCCTGACCTGGCAATGAACCCTCAACCTTGGCATATGTGGATGATGCTCTAACCAACTGAGCTACCTGGCTAGAGTCTATGTCTTTATTTTTAATTTTAAGTATTAACAAGTGCTAATGTTGGAAGCTACTCACAGAGCAAGCAGAAGAGATATGAAATAACAAAGTTAATATAATAAGATTCTTGAAGAACCAGGTAATTTTGGGACAGTGGAAACTCTTGAGATATATTGGGGGGAAAAACAGAAAATTCATCTTGCATTTGTAGAACATTTCTGAGCAGGTGAAGAGAATTAATTGTAGGAGTTTGTGGTGGAGAGCCTCATATTTTTTAATGAAGTTGGTCGTGAGGTCAGCTGCTTAAAATAGAAATGAGATTAAGGGCTTGAAGAGTAAACACTTAAACTTTGTCACAGCTACTGTAAAGAATAGAGTAAGATTCAGTTAAGGAGGAACTGAAGTCTTTCCAAAGCACATTCTGTGCTCAGGTGACCTTGAGCAATGTGCACTTATGCTAAAGTGTGTTCACTCAGGAAAGGCCCCTGTAGTAGCCACAGAATCACGCCTTGGCATTGGAGTTAGAGGGGACCGATATTCTCAACCAAGTTAAGGAAACGAAGTAAAGGCTGAGAACTTTCCCTTCCAAGCAAATATTCTCTAGCTTGCCACTGGGGCCAGACCAGAGGTTAGCATTTTTGCTAAGGCACTTAAGGGAAACACTCCATCTCTCAGTCTTCTCTGTGTGTCTCTTGGGTCATAGTTGCTCATGAATTAAGAGACAACCAAAAAATACCTAATACCGAGACTCTTGAAATCAAATCAAGTATGATCTGAGCTTAAGGTATTCCAAAAATAATTTAGGCTTGAAAATATATATTGACATGGCATCCACTTACAATGAAAAATGGGGTGACTTCTCGATCAACTATGGATGTTATATTAATTTCACCAGTTTTTTGATTAATAACGAAGATTCCGAAAGGTGGTTGATCAATTCCTACTCCAGAGATGCGGTACGTAACTTGCTGGGTTTTAGCACAATCTGAATGAATCTGCAGAAAGAACACAATTGAAAATATTAAAGGATGCAAAAGAAAGTCTGTGTTTGATATATAATGGCTGTCTTTTTGGAGAGCTGTTGAATGTCCTGTCCCTGTTATTTTGGGGGAAATTCTGGAAGTAGAGAATTATTTTCCTAGCTAAATGGAATAGTTAAAACTCTAGTATTTTAAGTGGTAACTGATAACATAATAGAAGAAATTCAATCTGTATTTCTATCAAATAATAAAAAAGTAAAATATTACCCTAATACATCTAAGTCTATGCAATTGTCATTCATTCATTCATTTATTCATTCATTCATTCAACATTTACACTTTGTATTATTTTCAGACTCTGTGCTAGCACTAGGTCTAGAATAGGGAACTTCTTGATCTCGTAAGGAGTTGACCAATGTTGTCATTATATAACTTTGATCTTTCTATTTAAATTAGAAGATTGAGTGGATTTATGTAGGTAACAAAAGATATCTGACTCTATGTAAAAGCTCTTAATTCTAAAAATGGGGAGGCTGTATTAGCAGAAAAGTAAAGAGACCACCCCAAATAAATGGTTGTAGAAACCAGGACTCTTTTTTGAAGTAAAGTACTATATGGAGAGTAGCTCTATGTGTATCTATGTGAAATTGTTATGTTTATATGTGTGTCTGTGTAGGTATATATATTTGTATATGAGTGAATCTGCGTGTGGGGATGTGTTTCTGAGTGTGCCTCTTTGTGTGTGCGTGTGCGTGTGCGTGTGCGTGTGCTTACAAAGGCATATAAGGGAAAGTGAAAGGGAAAAGATTATTAAAAAAGGGTACATTGTGAATGTTCATAAACAAGCCAAAAGTAGGAAAATTTAATTTTAATAGACTATGAGGCAGAAAGAGCAAACATTAAAATAGCTCCTGTAAATGTGCTGAGTGATTAAACACATTACTTAAATCACTATATTTTTAAAATCTAAAGTTTGAGATAACACGTGAGCCTTTATATTAATTTCACCAGTAAGATGAGTCAATGTTTAACTGTTTACCTGAGTGTCTCAATGTCTGAATTTATCTTTTTAATGGCTTCAGTTTTCATAATCTGAATGACTATCGTTCTGTTTTATATCATAACTCCTCAGCGAGATATGTTCATAAAATATTTAAAAGACAGGTTCTTTTGAAACTTTAACTTCACCATTTTTTATTTTTTATTTCATGTTTTGGGGTGACACTCACTTTGGCTATTGGGTTCCTCTTTGAGTTGTCTTCACCTTCCCGACAGGCTGCAGCAAACTTGATCCACTCACGCTTATGCCTTCGGATTGAGTGCCACTTGATGGTGCCATTTTTAGCGCTATAATCTCTTACCTGGAATAGGCAGGTATAGTAATTGTATCTATTAACGGTTATCCATAATTCACATCCCACTAAAGAATTTGTAGGAGGGGTAACTGTAATGTCAAAAAAGATGCTTATTTGGGAAGATTGGCAATTTTGATACTCTATTAATTTTAGTACAACATTAACTTTACTTATAAGGATGAATGCTTTTTGGGGGGGAGGTGGTACAGGGATAAGTTCTTACTCCCAAACCATTTTCTTTGTTTTTAATTCAAAAAAATTAATTTGCTATATGTTACCTGAATTCGAAATTCACTGTAAACTTCCACCACCACCTATAAAAAAGTAAGACAAACACAATAGTTAATTTTTAACTAAATGCTTTACAATTTATGTTATCAAATCATTAAAAAATAAAACAAATCCGAGTTATTAAAATTATTTTCTCAGTCTGGAAATCAGGTGGACCTGGTTTATCTCTCAGTTCTGATAATGATGCTAAGGATTCATTTCCTTTTAGTTTTTACTTTTCATTTTTGCTCTTCTTTTAAAATTATTTTAATTTTCTAACCTCTTTTTTATTCTTAGCCTATGCAGATACTTGTAATCATACGAGCTAGGACATTTGAAGTGAGAAACCAGTGGGAACGAGGGTTGGAAACTTGGTTCTATTACTAAATTTTGTGCCTGAAGAGCTGGAGGTATTTTGTGATGTTCAACAATAAATTATGATACTAAAACTTTTGACTATAGTTTTAACATCTGAGTAGTCAGAGATGGAAATAGGAAAAAAGTATCCTGGGGTGAAGGAAGAATATAGAGCAGAAAGTGTCCAGAGAGCTTCCAAAATATTTACTCCTTCACATTCCAGTTCTAAATGGATGATTTTCTATTATTCTTGAAAATCTTAAGATAATAAATTTTTACTTGCTTTGAAACATGAGAATATGAAGTTCTAATATAAAAGCAAATAATTTTCTCTGTGGAAGAATGAGCTCATGTTTGATGTTTCACTGTTTGCACTGAACAAAATAGATGAGATAAATGCATCTCTCCACAGCAGGGAGAAGAAATTTCAGGAGTGTAGAGACAAGCTGCTGGGTAAGCAGTTTCAATTAGTCTTTTCTTCTGCATTAATTAAGTGAGCTAGTCAAGGAGAGCTCTGCCTAGTTTCGGCTCAACTCTGGCTCTGATCGTTACATATGATTGGCAGTATTAAATCAGGGTAACTTAACCTATTCTTCTCTTAAAACCAAAGGCATTTCTAAAAACACAAACACTTATGTATTAAGTTTAATATATCAGCATACTTAAGACATTGTAAAATATCTAAAAAATTAGGTGTGGATTTGCAGGCGAGTTTGTATTTGTTAAGTTTTAAATTGCACTTAGAATTAATAAATACAGTGTGACTCTTTGGTCCTTATTTCTCCCTAAATAAGACATTTTAAACTTCTACATGAATTTTTTTTAGAACTGTAAAGTATGAAAACTGTTATTGCAAACAGGCTTTATCTGTATTACTAATAAAATAAAAGTATGGCTTGCATTTTAAAAAATACTAATAATAGTAATTTCAGAATACAGTAAATAGTGGGTTTTCATTTTACCATTAAATTAAAAATAAAATTTTAGTGTCTAAGTACATATATTTTTAAAATCACCATAACTGATAATTCAAGAAATTTATATTTATGGTTAATATGAGTAGTTTTAAAAGATAATGTTTTTATTATAGGAGTTATATACTCATGGTATATATTTAATGTTAATCATATCGATGTCACCATTACAATTCACTAAATGGTAACTAAGTACTAGACAAGATGTTTAGAGAAATACAGGCACTTAGTCTTCTCAAGTACATGTGGTCAATACTATAATTGTTTTCATTTTACAGATGAGGAAATTGAGATTTTGGTATTAATTTATGACTAAATACAATCCAACACAATTCAGGCTAAATTTGTGCTGGAGTTGTGAGTTTCACTAGTAAGTACATGATAGCCTGTTTTACATAAATTACTAAATGAAATATACTACAGAGAACTGACATTACAATTTTGAGAATTTGAAAAAAAAATCCTGATTTTAATCTAATCTCATATTATCCTGTGATTAGGAATGCTTATATACAATAACAACAACAACAATAATAGTAATACTAGGAAGGGGGGTAAGAAAAGGAAAGGTCCCAAATGGTTTGGACAAGTAACTGAAATGTTATTGTAGAGTCCCTCTTGGGTGCAGAAATGAAATGATGTTAATGCAGCTGTGTGCTTCTTGCTACCTTGAACTCATGAGCACTTACTCCTCTCGTTTGTGGGCGTTGGATGGGCATGTGGGGATACTTAATTTGTCTGTTTGGAAGCCATTTCTTCACAGCTACAGACTGTGTGTTCATCTGTTATCTGTCTTGCACTTCCCTTACCACACTGAAGGGTCAGTGCCCCGATTGTTTTGGAGAACTATGCCAGATGACTAACCTGGCTTTACGAAGCTGGGTCATCATTTTTCCCATGAGAGGCAAGTTAGGCAGAAGACCAAGGAGGTTTCACCATACTGTCCAGCACTCAATTAGATAAGCAATTAAAAAACTGCCAGGTCTGCTTAAAAATATGTTGTGTTGACATAACCAAGTTGTCTTTTGCTCAGTCTAAAAGAATCTCCGAAACAAAGCAACTCTTTGACCTTCAAAGGCAAAATAACACGATAAAAAGAGCATTTGGTACAGGCAGAAAACTTTTAATGTACTTCCTAAGTTCTCTGAGCTTTAGTTTTCTCATTTGTAAAGTGACAGGAGTTCACTAGATTATACTGTTACCTTCCAAATTCTAACACCGAATCCCTGTGTGCAGTAGGAAAGTATTGAAGTTTCTTGGTCATGGGAAAGAGATGTCAAAATTGTGGGTTTAAAAGATGACTGACGACCACTGATGGAAATGGTGGGAAAGGGCAGCGGAGTTTCTGCATCGTCAGCCCAGGGATGAAGGGGAGCAGTGGCGGTGGGAACAGACTGGGGAAGATCAAAGGGGAGAAACTGCCTGATTGAAATTGACAGGGTTTGAGAACAAGCGGGACATGGGTGGGAAGAGAGGGAAGAATCTCAGGCGGTGGCAGTTTTAAACTAGGAGATCAGGAGCAAGGCAGAAGCAGAATTTAGCAGGTTACAACAAATTCAGGGTGAGATGCCAGAGAAAAGCCCTGTGAAGATGTTCAGCGATTAAAATATGTGTCAGCACCATGAATAATAGTTCAGGCCTGACACAGATTTGAGGGACGCCTGCCGAGGTGGGATGGTCGAAATCATGGGAGAATTTGAAATCCCGAAAGCAGATAATACCGCAAAGAAACAGCCTGTGGCCGAGGGTGAAACCGGGGGAATTCCTACACTTATACAACTTGGAACAATGACAATAAACAAGAAACAACAAAAGAGAAAGAAAAGAAGTGGCCAAAGAAATAGGAGGAAAATATAATGCAATGTCACGGATGTCAAAGGAATGGGAGAACTGAGAGAGAGATGTAGTGTGAACATGTGTCAGATGATGTAAAAAAAGGTGAGCAGAGTGGATCCTGAGAAAATCCTGAGGTTTTCTGTGACTTTCAGGAGAATGCTTTCAGCTGGATGGAACAAGGCCTCCCTAACTGTTGAGGAGTGGGCAATAAGATGGGGGAGAGAACATAAAGGTGCCACTTTTTTTAAGAAATTTGGTGATATAGGAAGCAGAAGTGATAGTAGAATTAGACAAAGTGTCCAAGGAGATATTTGGAGAGAGGGAGACGTGGATTTTTGAAAGTAGAGAAAGAGGAGAGGAGGAGATTTTGGTTTGAAACAGGAGAGGTTGAGAAAATATTTCCTGGAGGTATTGTGATGAGCAGGGGGGATAGGTAGAAAGAGAAGCTTTGCAATCATAGGGTAAGGAAGAGTAGAAAGATGGAGATTAAAATCAATTGATTAAGACAGGGAAATTGAAGGACATACGGGATGACCCAGACCTTGTCCCTAGAGTAAGGGTAAGGTTATTTTTCTCTTAATCAGGGAAGTCGTTTGGATTCCGAAAAAAGTTGAGAATACAGAGGTTGTCAAGTTCATTGAGTACATCTCAGCTCTCGTGCCCACTGGATATGGGCATTGGGGTTAAGTCACTTAGCCATTCTGTGCCTCAGTTTCCTCATCTGTATATGAGACTGAAGCCCTTTTTAATCCAAAAATTCTGAGAGCAGTGAAAAATTCACTTGAAGTGAATCCTCAGTGAGGCTTCTCTACATCTCTATTTTAGAAGCCAATCCACACATAAAAAAAATCCCCCCAAAACAAAAACCGACAACCACAGGATAAAAATTGCATGCTCATTTCAATGATTCTCTAATTATACTCATTTTTAGTTCTTTTATTTTAATATTGAATTTTACATTTCTTTGCATGTAACAAAAATGGTCTTGAAAGTAGTAATTTAAAATTTTTGTAAGGAAAACCTCTTGCATTTAATAATTGTGAGGCGGAGTTCCAGTTATTTGACAGTTTTTTAAAGCATCAAATTCTAATGTAGTTAACTGTTATAGATATCACAAGAATGAACTTGAGACAAAGCTAAAATATAATAATTTGCTTCTTTAAAAAAAAAGCAACCTCCTCTTTTATCTTTCCTGTGTATAACTTGCACAAAAGCTATCAGTCTGGAGTTGACTTCTTGATAGGGCAATTTCTCTTATTTGTTCATTGGTTTATTTACTAATTTGACAAATATATATTGAATGTGTATTATGTGCATCCAATTCTGGATTAAGACCTTTAAGTGACTTAAGCCCTAAAAATATTATGATAAGCCTTAGATGAAATGTAAAGAAAATGTAATACTACATCATAAAAATAAGTGTTAGGGAAACTCAACATGATTATTTCCATGTCTAATACCTTGACAATTTTTTGAAGTGTGTGCGGAAAGGGAAATATAAATTATCCAAAAATTCCCTTCTGATGCCTCTATGTTGTTTGACTAGACATCTATTGATCAATCTTGTATTGGTGCAAAGCACTATGAAAGATACAAAGTGAATCAGACAGAACCTGCCCTCAACTAACTTACAGTCGAGTAGTTTTATGAGCAACAGGCAGCCATTAATTAGTGGGAATGTGGTTTTACATTAGACAGATGTAAAAGACTGCACTCTATTCTCATAGGCCAGTTGAGGGGCAGGATCAGTAGCCAATGGCATTTAAACTACTTTGACCTGTCTAAGTCCATTAAAGGAACTTGCATGCCGAGCGTAATCGGCAGGGGTGGCATGACCCAGCACTCTGTAAGGGTGTTCCCTCGCTGAGGGGAGCGTGGTAAGTCTAACTGCAGTGCAGACTGAGTGTGCCTCCCACTTCTACGTTAGGCAATACCTATTAGGACATGGGGTTATTCAGCAATGATGCCCTTGGAGAATATATAGTGAAGAAAGAGTTACCAGAAATTAAGTGCTTTGGTATAGACAATAGTGTTATTTTTCTAGATTCATGAGCCTTGTTAAATAGGTATATCCTGTCCCTTGGGGGCCAAATCTTCAGATTTATCAAGGCAGCATTTTCCAGTGCTTTAGGTTTTTCTGTTGCCTAAATCAGGCAAAGCAAAATGTTTTTACTGTGTGGCAACAAAAACCAATTAAATGATGATAAATGTGTACACTCCATTTTCATAAAGGTGAAAGAAGATGCTGGTCCTAAGTCTGTCATGGAATCTGCAGTTTAGAGCACCATGTACATGGAAATGATTTTGCTTAAATACAATTTATAAATTGTACTAAACAGGTGAACAGAAATGCTGCTTCCATTTTATATAAAATGTTTTACTGAAATACTAATATCTATAATGTATATCATTATAATATGTGCTTAATAAAGCATAAAGAATCCCCTTTTTGGCTGTTCTTCTGTTTAGTCTGTAGTAGTTTATTAGTCCTTCCCTTGTGTTACCCATCAGTAAACACAATTATGGGAATTTAAGATGTCCTGTTCAAATAAGTTGATGAAGTATGTAATAAAGTATATACAGGGCTGGGCAAAAGTAGATTTACAGTTGTAATACAAATAAAGAATACAATAATTAATAAATAATAATACAAGAATAAACTGTGTTTCATGTACTTACAACTGTAAACCTATTTTTGCCCACTCCTGTATTATTTTTTGCGTATTTTTGCATGAGTGTTGGGATATATACTCAGATAAACTCCTGCTTAAATATTAAATAATTTCAGCTAAGTTCAAAGTGTGGAGTTAGTTTATCAGGTGATACAGGTTTGTTTGTATTTTTAAAGGAAATATTAACCATGGAAAGAGAAGAAGCTAGGCTAGTATGATGTACTGAAGAAAGTAGATCATTCTTGGTACTAAAGATAGGTTTATTTGAGTTCTTTGCTGCAGAAGTTGGACTTTATAGAAAAAGACATTCTGAAAGTATATTGATTTGACTCATTGGACCTGACAAAGTTATAAGTAAGCTTTAGAAATCGTTAGAACTATCAAAGTTCTACTGGTACTATTTTGCTTTCCCATGGTGACCATGCTATACCTCATACCATTGTCACAACCATTCTCAGAGGCTTCTTATATTTGGTGCATAGGTAACATTGTTCTCTGGCCTAGAATACCCCCTCCCATGCATGAATTTCATGGAAACAAAAAAGAAAGAAAAATAAATGCAAAATCAATAACATTTGGCTTGCTATATTATAGCAGGTGTAAGCTATTGTCTGTCCAAGAGCCTTGTCTAAATAATGGAATAATCACATGGCAATATTGGTCACTGTAAGAGCAGGTTCTTCATTTTTGTTCTTCTAGGTCTAATCCACTAATTTGAACATGGTCTATGCCCTTAGGTATATTGAGCAGACTACGCAACATACTTGCAAATAGATGGCTGCCTAGTTCTCAGATGGATTTGCATTAAAGATGCCAGCTTAAATGTCTTAAAGGTATTCAAAATTGTCCAACTATGCTCCCTAATGCAGTTATCCACTCATCAGCTTTGAGCAGAGAAGAATATAAAGGCTTTACATAAATTTTTTTCTTTTCTTTTTTTTTCTGTAAAAGCAAATATTTACAGTGAGGCTAGCTGAAAGGTGAGTGGGAGAGTTTGCTATAGTGATAGTTAATTTTCAGGAAACAAAGTATTTTAAAGCAAAAATGGACTGCATAACTCCAAAGGACATTTACCCAAATCATCTGGTAAGATATGTAGTAAAAATAAATTGTGATTTTTTTCCAAACCTTAGAAAGTGAAATGTTTTATAAAAATATTATAATAATGTAAAAGTGAAACATTTTAATTCATCATAGAATAAGATCTTTGAGAAATCATTTTCTTAAGACATATGAGAAACTTATGATTGATTCCAAAGTAAAATATGGCAACAAACAAACAAACAAACAAAAAACCAAACAATCCACAGAAAAGAAACCTATCCAGGCTCAGAAAATAAAATACATATGCCTGGAAACCTCTACAAAGACAGAAAGTTCAATAAGGATACATGATTTTGATAAAATGATACATTATACTGAAGAATGACTAATTGGAAAGTGACTACTTAAAGAAATTTTATAGGACGTAATTAATTTTAAAAAATGATAAAAATAATGAAATAAGGTGTCCTATAGATTCAATTAATGTACATAAGCATCTTAATAAACTTTAATCAACTCTAACTATAATAAGACTTAATAGATCAAAAATAAAAGTATTTTATTATTTCACAATGATATACTGCATAACTCTCATTAATGCCTGACACATCCCGAGTTATTATATCAAGTAATCTTCAAGATCCATTAAAAAGTCCATGGAATAAGCTCATGTTTAAAGGGCAACTTGGAACTAAAGCTACCAGATTATTGATGCTCATTTACAACTAAATCCACTGGTTGTGACATATCTTAATTAATAAACTGAATTAAAACTAACCAGCATACCTTGAGTCAAAGATCTAACTTGTTATTAAGAAACCCAACAATCCAGTTTAAAAATTAAGCAAGTAGAAGCAAATACAAACCACAGCGCTCTACATCCTGCCAAATTGGATCGCGATTTAACTGGCACTTGACTCTTTGGGCTACATTAACCTTACTGTTAGAGAGACTGCGATACATAAGTGAAATTGATGTAACGCATTGGTGCTGTACTTAGTATTACCTTTAAAAAGAGAAAACTAATAACGTCTAAAGGGACAATGAAAAAACATTTCATTACATTTGTCTGATCACCAATGTACAACTTATATATCCTAGTCATTAGGGATTTTCCATTAGCAAGAACTAGTAATGTAATAATTATACTTATTTTTTAATTATAGCCCTTCTTCACCTACTATGTCATTTACAAATCTCCCATACTGCCATTTTTTTGAAATAAAAATATTGTTTTAAATAAAATCACAGTTTAGCGGTGTAGGGCTCTCCATATTAGTGATATGCATCCCAGAGACATAGGGAGCTGATGAGGTTATTTCTATAGTGAGGCCAGTCACAGGCTGCTTTGATTTTAATTTATATGGGTCCTACTTTTATGTTTTAAAAATTGTAGAAAATCTACCAAGATACCAAAAGAATGAAAAAATGTTTACATTAAAAATCAGGATACACCTGTGATATTATTTTAAAAGCCCAACTGCAAAAGAGAATTTGAACAACAAAGTGCTATTAAGTAGTGAGATGACTTCCCTAAACTCAGTATTTTCCCAGAATGACTTAGCAATGACTTCGATGTCAGAGATGTCATATGATGAGTTGACACTGATGCATTCATATGATCTTGAGTCTTCAATTAAAGAGAGAAACACTATTTAAAAACCTAGTTCGTAAAATCACCTTGTCATTAACATAAACTTTTGATGGGTTTAGGTTAGAAATAACACAAAGTAACATTTTCTAAAAAATTCTCACTTGTTTACAACGAGAACGATCTTGAAGGGTTTTTAACAGAATCCACTTACCAGAAAAATGAATAGCACTGCAGCTGCTCTGAAGCGCCAGTCCATCGCTGCTGAGCTCTCTTACATCCAGGACCAAGGGAATGTTGTTTGTCCTTCTGTTCTTTTTCTTTCCCCCACTCAGCTGGTGTCTGATTAAAATAATTTCCCAGTAGATGTTCGTACAGGCAGGCTTTGAGGTGTTTCTGCCTTTGCTGGGAGAAGGACTGAAGGTACGTATAACCAGTCTAGATCCCCACCCTAAAAACTTGGGCTGGCCTCACTAAAATGCTTGACAAGATCATCATTGCTCCCAGGTAAAAGCTAAGGGACACACCCTTCTCCCAGCTGAAATGCAGCTCCCTGTAGGACAGGGAAGATTCACTCCTTCACTGAAGGTTTTTAGTGAAAAACCTTCATTTAACACAATGGGAAGTGTGGAGAATTATACCATTGATAGGAGCTTTTCACCCTATGTTCTCTTCATAGGTTGTTTAGCTTCTTCCCATATTAAAAAGGCAAGTGTGGTCTGGATGTAAGCTTATGTTATTCAAAGAGGACTGTCTGGCTCATGCTCATAGCCAGACACACAGATCACAGTAGAAAATTATAAGCTTTCCATTTCAGTGGATGTTAGAAAATATTCAATCATTTTCAAAGTTGTTCTTTATGAGGCAAAACACTTGCTAATGTTAAGAGTGAGGATTTTTTAAAGCATTAATTCATATAAGCAAAACTATTATACTTACAATTATAGGGTCCTCTGCCTTTAAGTGACCAGCCTAAGTCCAAGGAAGTCTCTGCCTTTCTCTGTAAGTGATTATCTTCTCTCCCCAACAATCTTTTTCTCTTTGACGTTTTGCCTTTTTCAAGTGGGGTAAAAAAAAATAAATTAAAATATCACCGTCAGATTAAAAGAAAACAATAAAGACCTCCAATTAAAATCCAGTTGATAATTTTTTGAATGAGGATCAGGGCCTGACATACTAATGGAAACCCAGAAAGTTGCTTTTCAGGTGAGGTGGGTTAAGTCAGTGATGATTCCCAAGCATAGAGCCAAGAATCTGTAGAGTGAGCCAATTAGAACATGGGGAATACACTGAAGAAACAGCTGCCCACACATGCAAATGGGAAACTGAACAGCCCTGAGGTTTGTGAAAATAAATAGTGACTCTCACAAGGCAGCATTGGGACAGTGCTCTTGGGATATGTTCTCTTCACCTTGCAATGTCTAGTATAACTATTGTGAGTGGCGAGAAGTCTATGAAATTTGAAATGCCAGTCTGGAACAAAAGACCTGTTGGATTGGATAAGAAGTTGATTATGACCAGAAGGATGCTCAACAAGCCCTAGAAAGGAAGGACAGCTCTGAGGGTGAGAGCTTCTACAGAATGCTGTCGTCACACTACAGATGTGTGACAAAGAAGGGTAGCCAACGGAGGTTTGAATTTTCATGCTGTTTATCATGGAGCTTAGAGGGAAGGAGGCAGGCTGCCTATGCCTACCTGCAGTGAATAGGAATGCTTCTAATAAGAATTGGTTGATAAGAAAATAAAATAATATAAAATAAAATAAAAATAAAATAAAATAAAATAAAATGAGATAATCAAGCCAAATTCCTTATTAGTCAAGTAAGATAGAAAGTGAGTGTCAGCCTACAACTTAGTCTGAGCAGTATATTAGCAGTAGGATTGTACAACCATGAATGACTGAAGACTCACTGGACACCAGAGAGGAAAGAACCTACTTTTCCAGTGGCAAGTGAATGCTTTTTGGACCTTGAACTCTAGGCATGACACTAGAGCGTACACAGGCCTTCTTCACCCAAGACCGACCGACCTTGTCTCTACCCCTAACTCAATGCCCTGCTCCAATAATCACAAACAAACTAGAGCATTTGTAAAGCAGCAATGGCCCCAGCACCTCCCTGAGAGGAGGTGTGGCAGAAACCCAATGTTGCAGAGCAGTGGCTTCCTTGACCCTCACATGGGAGAAAAATAGTGATAACGAGCACAAATGGGAAAGGGAGATTGGGAATCACCAGCCCTCCTCCTTCAGCTCTTCCTCTGCTGTTTTCTCTTTCCGAGCCATATTAATGTCCTTAGTATAGCACTATTCAACAGAACTGTCTGAAATGTGGAAATGTTCTCTATCTGTGCCCAGCATGGTAGCCACTAACCTTATACAGCTACTGAGCGTCTGAAATGTGCCTGCTATGACTGAGGAACTGAATTTTTAACTTTAATTTTAGTTAACTTAAATTTAGATAATCACATGTGGCCAGTGGTTACTATATTGCATAATTCTTTTGTCTTCTATCTTATTCTTTGCCTCAACTCGTTCCATTCTTTATAAATTCAACTCCTTTCCTCAACTGAGGGCAGTTTCCAACGAGCACCTGTTGGTCCCTTTTCTCTGAGTACCCCTATTATCTCAGTTGGTCTAGTCTTTTTACCTGACTCTTTAATGACCCTATTCTCTAATGCTAAAGAGTTAAGATACTTTAAAACATAATGGACAAAATAAAATGATGAACAAAATAGATCCAGAGACACAGAAGCATGGAACAGACTGAGGGATCTCAGAGGGAAGGTGAGGAGGAGGGAGTGGGTGGAGAGAGATTAATCAAAGAACTTAAATACTTATATGCATAACCCATGGACACAGACATTGCTATGGGGAAGGCCTGAGGATGGGGTGGATGTGGGGTGGAGGGGATCAATGGGGGGAAACGGGGGACATCTGTAATACTTTCAACAATAAAGATAAATTAAAAAACAAACAAACAAAACCCCCAAAACCACACAGGCAACACAAAGCCTTCTCATTTCCATGTTCACATTTTCCAGCTACCTTATCTGTAGACTCACACGACACTGTCACATAACTGTGCTTCTCAAGTTTGCTTCTTCCATCTGGTCTCATTGCTCCCCATTTCTACTCTGAACATTGTTTCTCAAGTGTGCCTCCACATACATACCAACAGTTCTCATTTCATGGAAATTTTATAAAATTTGGAGTTATTTTTCTGTGTGGAATTTCCCTGGTAAACTAGCAGATTTTCTCACAGGCATCATGATTTTCCTGGGAAGGGACTTTTTTTTCTCTCTCGTAAGGCACTGCAAACTCTAGAATGTTATCTCAAGTGTCTACATTTCTATGTTTGCTCACAGCTTGGAATACTGTCATGTCTTCCTGAAAGACAAAATAATCAGCGTCTTTCATTAAAGGTGATGGATTCTAATAATCTGGAATTTGTTAAGCCTAACTGATTGTTCTATCCCCCTTCATTTACACAGTGCCCATAGCATGGACTGATATATTTCCATGGAATATGCTTTTATGTTATATGCAAACTTCTGATTTTATATATGTGTCTAATCTACCCATGTCAGCTCTACAAATTGTTTAAAAATAAGTGAAAAAAATAAATCCTAAAAATAGAGAAGACTTTGACATAAATATGTTAAGGATAATATAAACAGAGATTTTGTTATTTGACTCTATATCAGTGTCCTTAAGGCATGTATTGATTCCAGATCTTTTTCACATTGTTTAAAATTAGACTGTTGTTCAATGAATCACAAAAATGTCTGGGGGATGGAGGCTGCTGTTTTAAATCACAAGAGGCTTTTCTTTTAATATATAATAAATGCAATGTCTGTTCCTCAATTGGATTTCTGATCTGAACAAATCAGCTATAGAAATAATTTTGGGGATGTTTGAAAAAATTTAAATATGGGTTGATATGGAGTTACTGTCAACTTTATTAGGTTATGTAGTAATATGTCTTTATTTTTAAAGATAGATGTTTAATTAGATAAAGGCAAAACTTTCTCTATGGTAATTCAGCAGTAATATAGCAAAATATTAACAACTGTTAAATCTAAGTGAAAGTATATGCTTTTCTCTTTGTTTTTCTATTTGAAAATTTTATAATAAAAGTAAGTACTGGTTGGCAAATTATAGCCATGGGCTAAATCTGACCCACAACATAACTACATAGCTATGACAGAGAACATGTGGTCTGCAGAGCCTAAAATAATTACTTATCTGACCCTGTACTGAAAAAGTTTGCTGGCCCCTCGACTAGGTGAATAGATTATAACTTTTCATATAAAATATGACTTGTTAGTAAATTAGTCTGTGTTAAGACGATCTACAAGATTGATCTAAGGAGTATGAATAGAAATCATGATGGCTGAAAGTAACCACTAAAATTAAAGCAATTAATCACTGAGGACTCTTCTTCCTTTTACACCAGACTTAAGCAAAACCTTAATTTTATTTTTCTCTAGTCATTTCTAGAATAAAAGTTCAAACACATCATATCTTGAAGTAGTTTCTCTATATAGAAAGAATATTCACAAGTGGGGAAAGTCTCAAATGAGTTTGAGAACATCGGAGTCTATCTTAATACTTAAATATTGTAGGATAATATAAGAGTAATGAAAGAGACTTACTGTCTGTTCTTTTAAAAAACATTTTTAAATTCTAATTGAGCACCCCCTGAATGTTCATTACTGTGGCCGATGCTGTGAAACATTCCAAATAATGTTGAACTCTGCCCTTAAAGAGATTACACTGTAGCTGCTGAGAAAGAAGTATTACTACTCCCTCGGGAAGACTTCCCTACTCACACATCTATGTGTACTTGCTACCCCACCAGTGTATACTCTTTAGATTGCAAGTGCAAGTTAAGTTCCTCCTGTTACTTATAATAAATTATCATCAGTTCAGTTCTACAGTATGTTTTTCTTTGACCTACTCTATGTCTCGCACTACGCTAGGCACTAGAGTTATAAAGATGGATACATCGTGGTCCTTGACCTCAAGTGGCTCCAGGTTAGCTGAATGAGAAAAGCAGATTTTTACCAACTTGCTAAATGGAAGCATGTGTAAAATGCTTTGGGAACCCTCGGCCCAGTTTTGTTGGAGGTGACATCAGGTAAATTTTATATAGCAGGCCCTCGAATAAGGTCATTTTGGTCAATGTCATTTCCTTAATATTGATGAGATGCTGTAGGAACATAGCTTTTGTTAATATGAACTAGCCTATGGTAAAATTGATTTCCTTGTACGTCAACTCACTTAAAGTTGCAGCGCCTATCAATGATGTTAAGTGAGGACTTACTGTACTGTTAAAGGTTACACCTTTAGGACATGATAGAATTGATTCCCAAAGTGCTTG